CAGAAGAATAGAAGGCTCTGCAGCAGGTACAGGTTACCAAGTTAGTTTTTCTGTCCCTTGGGCCATATGGTCCAGCAGATCCATATTATTTGAAGTTTATGGCAGATAGGGATACTGTATGAAGACTTTAGCAGGCAAATATAGGTTGATCAGAGTTTATAGGATTCCAAACAAGTTATGTTATCACCTGCCAATAATTATCCTCCTTTTGGAAACACCACCTAGCTTGCCATTAGACTAGTAGAGACTTACCATGTGACCATGGCCACCAAGTTACCTTTGAGTTGAGCTGCTCACCATGAACTGGATGTTCTCTGATTCACTAATACGTAAAGTTAGGTATACAGATCTACACTAGATCAAAAATGGCATTAAAACATATAAAATTGAATTTGAGTGGATTCTGAAGGCACAAAGGAATTGTATGAGGAAATGGTTAATATACTTGTGGCTCTTACTGCTGCTGCATGGTCTTCTCTCTTTCAACATATATCTATGACTTGTCACCAATTGACTGAGGAAGAAAATCCTTGACCCTGGTTCACAGATAGTTCTGCATGGTATGCCAGCATCAGCTAAAAATTCACAGCTGGAGTACCATAGCCCTGCTCATGTATGGCTCTGATGGGCAGTAGTGAAAGATAGTCTCAGTAGGCATAACTCTGAGCAGTGACCTATCTGTATAGCCTGGAAGAACAAATGTTCAGACTGTATAGATTTTCACGGATTCATTGGCAGTGGCTAAGGATTTGGCTGGATGGTTGCAGACTTGTAAGGAGTACAAGGAGTCTAAGGAAGATATATGTAGGTAAATTACTCTGAATGGGCACAGAATGTGAAGATAAATTTGAGTCCCTTGTAAATGCTCCCCAAAGGGCAATATCAGAAAAAGACGTTAATAATCAAGTGGACAAGATGATCTGTTCCATGGATGTTAGTCAGCCTCTTCCAACAGCTACCCTTGTCCTTGCCCAATGGACTCATGAACAAACTTGCCATGTTGGAAGGGATGAAAGTTACTCATGGGCTTAGGAACATGGACTTCCACTCACTAAGGCTGCCATGACCATAGCCACTTCTGAGAGCCCCATCTGCCAACAGCAGAGACCAACACTGATTTCCCATTCCCTGGGGGGAGTATGAGTCAGCCACTTGGTAACAGGTGGATTACATCAGACCACTTCTACCAAGAGAAAGACATCACCTGTGTTCTCACTGGAATATACACTCACTTTGGATATGGATTTGCCTTTCTAGACACCGTGCTTCTCCCTTTACCACCATGCCTGGATTTCAGGGTACCACATTCACCATCATGGTATCTGAAAAGACTGTTTCTGACCAGAAAATAATTTTACTTAACATGAAATGAGGTATGTCAGTAGGGTCATGCTCATGGAATTAACTCTTCTTACCATTTTCCCCATTACCCAAAGCAAGAACCGATAGAATGGTGTAGAGGTTGGTGGGGGGCACTTTTTGAAGACCCAGTTTTAGTGGCAATAATTTTCATGGCCCAGACAGATAATATCCTCCAGGATGTGGTATATATATGTTCAGGTACTAAGATATGGTGCTGTTTGTCTCTTGGCTAGGATTCTCAGGTCCAAGAGAGAAAGGGTGAAAATGAGAGTGACTCTTCTATTACTCCTGGTAATCCAGTGGTGAATGCTTTACTTTCTGTCTCAGCTGTGACCATGTGACAAGTTACAAAAATGATGGTAGTAGTTACAGGCATTTCACTTCCTACTTTGAAATGAATATATACCAGTTCTTTTTCTTTTCTTCCCCTATCTCATTCCCCTACTAGCACATGTGAATAGTGGCTAACCTTAGGGACTTTGTATCCTCCACTGGGGAGAGTGTTGGTGTATTGTTTATTATAGGAGGGATCTTGCATCATGGAATGTAAGAACATGATTGCTACTTCGTTATACAGACGTTTTAAATATTGTTAAAGTGTAAATGAATGCCAAACTGATGAGTGGACTGAGGTGATTTGTACTCTGTTGCCTCATTAAGCTTGAATTATGTTTCCCAGTATCATTTCCCCTGTATGATTCCGGGCTAGAGTTGGCCAAGAGAGGAATATGTGCAACATTTGGAAGGCAGAATTTAAGCAGAAGCCATTTCTCTGTGAAGGTCATCATGCTTAGATGTGGCAACAGCAGAGAGGACAGTGGGTTCCAAATTGCCCTCACTCTCCCCTGTCGTGTTTCCAGTCCTTCTTCCCAATGTCCAGCTTTTCCTCCTAACTGCTGACCCTATTGACAAACAATAGCCCCAGGGTCGCCATCAGAGAGTTGGCAAAATACTGTCAAGGCAGTAGCTACTCAGAGGCACATCTTCCTGTAGATATTCTCACAAGCCTTTCCCCCACCCCTCTCCCCCCACTCCACAGTCTCACTGTGGCAGTTGGACAAGGTGGCTTCTCAGATTATCTGACTGGTGACTTCCCTGATTCTCTGACTTCTCTCCTAAACTTACTTCACTTCCCCAGCTTCTCCTACAACATGTAAGATACAATTCCTGTAATAAATTCCTTTTCTCATACATGATAGTGGTTCATTTTCCCCAATCAAAACTTGACTGGTATGAATAGAGAAATTCCTGATGGACTTTGAGCCTGTTCTGTCTGTTCCTGAGGCCCAGTTACAACCTTGTGTTTCCTGTATTTAGTTGCTTAACCATTATTTGATTCTATTTACAAAATAAAAAATTTTTCCTAAGCTAATTTGCGTTGGTTTCCAGGTATTTGTGATTAAAAAAAAAACTGTAACCAACACCCTTTGGCAATGTTAATTATGGATCTCTTGTATTTCTTCATGCCTGTGAGCAGAGACACAGACTGCCAAACTCTTTTCAAGGATTTTTATGTAGCAAAGAGTCTTGGAATATATTGTGGCTTCCTATGGTACAAAGGGCACATGTGCTTACTGCCCATTATAAAATATCTGTTTCCCTCACTCAGTGTTCCTTTCCCGTTATGCAATCCACTGTACAGGTATTATTTGGGCCTCTTCCTACTGCCCTGTGGGAACTGGAGCTCAGGAAATGAGGCAAAAATGATGTTACTTTGGCTATTGCTATTGCTGTGACTGTCCTTTGTCGCTGACCTAAGAGACATGAAACTGTTGCAGGTTAACTTGTCAGCTGGTATGGATGGTGAAATCTCAGATCCTTCACAGTTCTTGAAAATAAGATTATTTTAGACTGGTGTAATTTCATATGAACTGCTCATTAGGCTTTTCGAATAGAACAATGTATATACCTATGATACAAAGTAACATTTTAATAAACAAGTAAATGTATTAGGTTTTGAAGAAATAAACTCAGTTTATTCTATCACTACAGTGTGACAATTACTTTAAGTGCATAGATCTCTTTATTTCTCATTTGTAATGACAAGAATTTGGTTAGGATGCTTTGGTTATAGTAACAGAAACAAAATTCTACTTTATGCAAAAAAGGTAATTTATTTAAAAATTACAAGGGTACCTTACCAAAGCTAAGAAAAACAGTTAAAAACAGGGCTCAGGGATGGTGGCTAGTAACAGAAATCAAATCTTGTTAGCTTAAGCAAAAAGGGGAATTTATAATTAGGATACAAGGTTGCCTTACTAACCCAAGGGTGGGAAACATGAAGGGCTGGAACAAGGGAATGGAGCACCATTAGAAAGCCAGGAATCACATTCTCCTCATCTCTCATCTCTATTCTTCACTTTGCAAATATTTCACTGCTCTCTCACTGCAGATTTCCTGTTTTTTTTCTTTCTAAACCACAGGGTGGGACATGGCAACTCATAGCTACCTAATTTATGTTTCCTCTATTCCAGAGATTAGTCAGACTAAGGCTAGAATCTCTTGTCTTCAACCCCAAATTCCTAGGGAAGCTTTAGAATCTTACCAGATTTAGAGATGACTTTCTTCTCTGAGATAGTAAGATAGAAGTTGGTAGAACACCAAGAGACAGAGACCAATTCAAAATACTTTTTACCTCTCCTTACAAACCTTGAGCTGAAATAGCTTATTTTGATTTAGGAATGGATATAGAGAGATGTTCTCACAGCCCAACTATAACCAGTAGAAATGACCAGGTGCTTCAACAGAGAGAGGTGTTCTAATACTTTTTAATATTCCCCCTAGGAGGGAAGTGATCAGCCTGGATAATGCTACTACCATATTTGAGACAAGCTTCTTTTCATTTATTGTAATAGGCATGATTTATCTCTTGGGAAGATATGCACAGGTCCTGGCATGAGTATTTTAAGCACAAAAGGTAATATTATATTTTGTTAATTGTTTTTCCCAAGAGAAAGAAAAACAGAGACCAATTACATGAAGGGTATTTGTGAGAAAGAGATTAAAAGAGATTAATTACAGGGTGGGTGTCAGAAATCCCTCAGCGCCATAAATAGAAATTTGACCAAGGGTCTCTCAAATTAGAGAGGAATTCTGGTTCATCTAGCTTGAGTCACATGTCTGCGAACATAGCTGCTCACATCTTCATCATAGTGGGGTAAGGGCTGGAGGGCTATTCTGAGAAACAGACATGGGAAAGGGCAAAGAAAATTATTTTCTGTATTCTTCACAGTGTTCCAGGCTCCCCTAGAGGAACAAAGTTATATTGCTTACGAAAGTCATGGCATAATAAGATTTAAATGGTAGGTGATTTATGTATTTAAAATTCAGAATAGCTGACGGAAGTATTCTTCCCAGCCTTACCCACATTGAAATAAAACTGAAAATGTCAAAGTATAAAGAAATGCTGCAAATGTTTTATTAAAAATGTATTTGTGCTGAAGATTTCTTAAAGTATTTCTCCTATGTGTTGAAATACACTCCTATTATTTATTATGTCCTTTGATGAGATACAAGGAGTTAAACTTAATGTTTATGATATTGCTCTAGTTCTTCCTGTAATTTTGTTTCTAGAAATAATTGGCAAGGGAAGTAGACCACTCTATGGTAAAGATCAAGAAAAGCAATATTAGCATGGACACGTTAAGAGACTCAGAAGCTGGTAATTCGTTTTAACTTTACATGATTTCAGTGTACACAAAGTTTCAAAAGAAAAAAGTCATTCAATATTATGTTGAAGGTTTTGTATTTCAACCTCTGTATTTCTTCGTGTAAATATTCCCTTAATGTTGTCATCTTTTTGATCATCATAAAGTGTCATATTTAGTACATTTCCAGTACATTCTTCTAATGGAATGGTTGACAAGTATGAAAATACTTTCTCCATTACAGGCTCCCTGAGAAAAGGCATTGGAGGGCTCTTTTTCACTAGGGAATCATCAGAAAACCAGTCATCAGCTACTTCTATACTTTGGCTGTAATAAGAATCAGATGGTAACGTTGATAAGCTTAAGGTAACACTGCCGGGATTTGTTGCCGAGCTAGTCTCTGAGGGGTCACAAATGACCTTTTTTGTTGCAAGGCAGAATTCATCTTTAGAATAATCTTTAATTGCTGTAAAAAAATTAGATTTACTATGAATATTACATATTTATGAGTCAAATCTTAATTATAAGGATAATGTTACTTTCTAAAATTCAAACTCTTCTTAGGGTTTTAATGAACAGGATGATGCAACAGTGAAAATGCTAAGTTGCTATCATCATCCATACAATGTTAAGTATGTAATGGGGAATCAGCAATATTTTCATGATAATCAAGAGTACAAAAATCTATTCTAAATAAAATCAACCTGTTTTAACAGGAGAAGATTCTAAACAGGTTAGAAAGCTCAGTTCTGGAATGTCCCTTACAATTAGAGATGGCAGACAGTTTCTTAACTATTTATAGCTAAATATTGTCTTATTTAAAAAATAAATTTTAAAATGCCTCCTTAAGCAGGTAGATTACAAAATGTTTGGTCCACAGTGGGAAGGGCCTATGAGTTGGCTTTATACCAATTAAAGTAACAACTAACATTCATATAGTGCCTTACAATTTACAAAGCAGTTTGATATACTTCCAGATCTCATTTATCCTCTCAGTTATTCTTCAAGGTAGTTATTAGCCTTACTTCACAAAAGGTATGACTGAGACTGAGACTTAAAGGAATGTCATCAAAATCAGATACAAAATGGACTTCAATCTAGATTTGTGTTACTCTAAGTCCCATGCTTCTCCCACTACATTATTTATGCTGCACAGTTGTAAATAAAAAATGTTAAGTTTTAGAAAAGATCACATTTACACCATATCCTAAAATATCTTTTATAATATTTTACATGTTAATTTTTGATATGAATATATAACATTGTTAATGCTGTTTTAAATACCTTATTATATTTTATATTCAGCATTTCTAAAATTATGTAGGAGGGTAATGATTTGAGGTACTAAGTCAATATCTAAAGGGTTACAAAACACTCATGTCTTTTAACTCTCCATCATTACTATATGGCATTGACTGTGATACCTTTGGATTTAAAGAAGGGACAAAAATTAAAATTTCACATTTTAATTTAAGACAAGACATTATAAATTTTGTTTTCTAAAAAATATATGCCCATTCATATGCTAATAAATGTTTCCCTTGAATTTTTATGATTTTTAAAAATATTTAGATACTTAGGGTATATTTAGGATAGCCTCTTGATTCTTTAAAATGTGAATTGCTGGAAGTTGATTACAATTTATTCTAATAAATTGTTGAGAGAAAGTACCTTTTTTATGTGCTGTTTCCATTTTTCTTTGCTCCTCCTACATAAAAAAACATTATTTGTGTTTTAAAAATTAATAGTTTTTAAACAATTTGATATATATTTATATAAGAATAATATATTTTAACATCATAATAAATTTTTGATAGAATCATATTTTCCACAATATGAATTTATTTTACCAAACTATATTGACAGGAAAGAAAAAGTGTTGAGGTATCATCTGAAAAGAATGTGAATTGGTTCAAGAAGGCAGTCTCCAGGATAGGGAATGAAGGGTGAAATAGAGTTCAACAGGATTATTTCTCTCCATTCTCACTAACTTAGAGTCACTTGGTTAAAACTAGAGAGGGCTAAAAAAGTAATTACAATTCCTAGACTTGCTCATTCTATTAACTAATAACAACAAAAAAGTGAATTCTGGCAGAAGCCTTTTATAAAAATGCGACTATTCTTTTGAAGCAAGTAAAACATTTGATCAAACAATACATTCCAGATGTGTTCTGGGAAGTGTGGTGGTGTAGTAGTTCTCAAACAGGGCATCAGAATTACCTGGTGTGTTTATTAAAATGCTGATTCTTGGACATAATATCAGACCCTACTAAAACAGATTTTCTGGCAGTAGGGTTTAGGAGTGTGCAGTGTAACACACTCCTCAAGCAGTTCTGATTCAGTTTTTCCTTAGACCACTAGATAAACAATGAGCTAGTGCATAGGGTGTTTGGTATGCAGTGGGTGAAGACAGAGAGATAACATTGTCTCTTGTGTTATAGGGGAACAGTGTGGGTATTCTATGCTGATTTTCATTGTCTTGTTCACCGAAAAAGGCTTGCTTAGGATATACATATATATAGGGTATACATATATATGGGATATACATATATATAGGATAACACATAAGTACTTTTTTTTTAAAACTTACTTTACTTTTTGGTCATTTTCAACTTTTATTAATATAAATGCCAGTATAGGCTCCTGACTTACCTTGCCTGGATTTAGGACCAATTCAATTTGTGACTCCTGTACAAATTATATTAGAACATTGCTTCTCACACTTTCACGTGCCTATGTATCACCTGGGGGAGCTTGTTAAAATGCATATTCTAACTCAGTAGGTTTGGGGTGGGGTCTGAGATTTTGCATTTCTAACAGGCTCCCAGGTAATGCTGATATTGTTGGTCTGGGAACCACAGAGTAAGGTCCTAGACTGATTAAAATTCTACCCAAACTAAGGGAATGACAAAATGGGCATTCTTATATATTGCTATATATAAATAGGTATAATTTTTCTGGAGGGCAATTTTACATATCCATTTCTAGAAATTTATTATGCCGGGTAAATAATTTTGGATTTGTATAAATATTCAGTTACCAGAATGTTCCTCACAACACTGTTTAGCATTTTTAAAACCTACAATTTAAAATTCTAAAAGTAAGGAAATCTTTAAATATGTTAAGATATGTGGATATTAATACAATAAGTATTCTTTCAAAATGATGCTATAGTATCAGAAGTAAGTAAAGACTCAAAAAAATGATGGGGACGTATAAAAAAGACAGAGGAATAATCTTAAACAAGTGGCTCACTGGTTAAATTTAGGAAAATTTGAGCATCAAAATAATGATAGTAATGGATTATAATCTGCTGAATAAAATAGAAGCCTATGAGTCTATATTAATAATAAATAAAATAAGGAAGAGGGTAGGGCTTCTTTCTCACAGTAGAAAGCCAAATGACAAATATGGATAGGAGTGGCAGAATTAGAAAATCATCATATTGTTACAGTTTTGTAAAGATTAGCTCAAGTAATAATTTATATAGCTAGTAAGTAGAGTTTGATGAAGAGGAGGATATTTACATGTTTTCAAAGTGTCACCACACAGCTTGTTTATTAACTGTAAGGGTAAAAACAGAAATAATTCAGTGAGGAAAGAACAGACATCATCTTGATTATGTGATCAACTAAAATCACCAGCGAAGAGCAGATGTACACTCTACGCCTTCAGATGTGATAAACTGCAAGGAAAAGTCACACTGAGGAACAGTCTATGATCTATAAAATAACTGGCTTGTATTCTTCAAAAATGTCAATATCATTGAAAGACAAAGAATGGAAATTTTAAAATATTTTGAACTAAATAATTATGAAAACAAAACATAAAATTTGTGGGATGCAACAAAAGAAGGCCTTAGAGGAAAATTTAAATATTAAATGTTTATATTATAAAAGAACAAAAGTCTAAGAATAATAAAGCATAAAACTCCAGGCAAGACTGATTTAGGAAAAGAGAAATATAATCAGGAATAAAAAGAGTACCATCACTAAAGATTCTATAGATTTTAGAAGCATAATAAGAAGAAACTACTAAAAACTTTCTGCCAATAAACTTAACAACTTAGGTACAATGGACAAATTTACTGAAAAAAATTTCTAAAACATACAAAATAGAAATATTTTGTATGTTCCATATCTGTTAAAGGAGCTAAATTCATAGCCAAAAATTTTCTCAGGCTTCCCTGGTGGCGCAGTGGTTGAGAGTCCGCCTGCTGATGCAGGGGACATGGGTTCGTGCCCCGGTCCGGGAAGATCCCACATGCCATGGAGTGGCTGGGCCTGTGAGCCATGGCCACTGAGCCTGCGCATCCGGAGCCTGTGCTCCACAATGGGAGAAGCCACAACGGTGAGAGGCCCACGTACCACAAAAAAAAAAAAAAATTTTCTCTTGAAGAAAAATCCAGACCTTGATGACTTCATTGGTGAATTCTAGAAAAAAGTTTGAGAAAGCAATATAGCCAATTCTACACAAAAATTTTTCAGAAAGTAGAGGAGCAGGAACCATTTCCCTATTGTTTTGTGATGAGAATAAAACTGTGATCCTGAAATCTAACCAGATACTACAAGATAAGAAAATTATAAAATAATATCCCTCGTTAACATAGATGCAAAAATTATTTAAAATATATTAGTAAATCAAATCCAGTGGGGTTTATTCCAGGAATACAGGGTTGATTTAACATTTGAAATTCAATGTAATTCACATTAACAAAATAAAAGAGAAAACTCATGTGAACAATTTTAAAAGATGCAGGAAAAGCATTTGGCAATATCAGCAACCCTTCATGGTAAAACAAACAGACAAACCTCTCAGGAAACTAGGAATAGAAGGGAATTTCCTCAATCTGACTATATGCATCTACAAAAATTCTATAGCTAATTTCCTATTTAATGATGAAAAGCTGAATGTATTCTAAGGTCAGAATATAAAAAGGATATATGTTCTCACTACTTCTGTTCATCATTATACTGGAGGTCCTATCCAATGCAATAAGATGAGAAAATAAAATAAAAGCATAAACATTGGAAAAGAAATAAAACTGATGTTTTTCACAGATCTCATGCTTGTACATGAAGAAAACCTTTTGTGGTCCTCAAAAAAACTACTAGAAGTAATAAATAAATTTATTTATAAAGGTCATAGAACACAGGTCAACTGTAGTAAAGATGGCAATTCATTACAAACTAACGTATAAACTAAATGTAACTCTTGGGACTTCCCTGGTGTTCCAGTGGCTAAGACTCCACGCTTCCACTGCAGGGGCCATGGGTTCGATCCTTGGTCAGGAAACTAAGACCCCCATGTGGTGTGGGGTATGCTGCGTGGTGCAGCCAAGAAAGAAAAAAAAAAGGTAATTTTCATCATGATCTCAACAAGATTTTTTTCCAGCTAAAGTTCACCTTAAAATGTATATGGACATGCAAAAGAATAAGAAAACCTAAAACAATGTTGAAAAAGAAGAATGAAATTGGAGAAATCAATTTTATAATTTACTATACAGCTAGTGTGTGATATTGGTAGAGATAGACACACAGGTCAATAAACCAGATAGAGAATGCAGAAAAAGACTAACACATATATGCCTAACAGATTTTCCACAAAATTTGCAAAAACAATTCAATGGAAGAGGATAGCCTTTTCAAAAAATAGTGCTGGAATAACATGACATCAATAGCCCCCCAAAATGAACTTTGATTTAAACCTCACACTTTATACAAAAATTAACTAAACATGGATCAGAGATAGAAATATAAAATGTAAAATGGTAATAGCCAAAACAATCTTGAAAAAGAAGAACAAAGCTGGAGAACTTACTGATATCAAAACTTACTACAAAGCTATAGCAATGAAGACAGTGTGGTATTGGTATAAGGATAGATATATAGATCAATGGAATAGAACTGAGATTCCAGAAATAAATGCTCATATTTACAATCAGTTGATTTTTGACACGAGTGCTAAGACAATTTCATAGGAAAATAATACTCTTTTCAACAAATGGTGTTGGGACAACTAGGTTTATACATGCAAATAAGTGAAGTTGGACCCATACCTCATACTATATACAAAAAACTAACTCAAAATGGATCAAACACTTAAATATAATAGCTAAAACTATTAAATTCTTAGAAGAAAACAGAGGTATAAATCTTTATGACCTCAATTAAGGAATGATTATAGATATGACACCAAAGACACAAGCAACAAAAGAAAAAATTAGGTAAACTGGACTCAAGAAAATTAAAAACATTGGTTCTTCAAACAACACCATAAGAAGAAAAGACAACCCAAGAAATGGGAGAAAATTTTTACAAATCATATATCTGATATAGGATATGTATCTAGAATACATAAAGAATACTTAAAACTCAACAACAAAAAGACAAATAGCCCAAATTTTAAAAATGGACAAAGCTTTGAATAGATATTTCTCTAAAGAAGATATACAAATATCTAATAAGCACATGAAAGTATTTTCAACGTCATTAGGCTCTAAGGAAATGCATATCAAAACCATGACAAGATACCACTTGATGCCCACTAGGATAACTATAACAAAAAAGACAGGTTAAAAACAAGGGTTAACAAGGGTGCCACAAAATATAATCTTCATATACTGCCTGTGGGGATATAAAACGGTGCAGTCACTTTGGAAAAAAGTCTGGCAATTCTTCAAAAATTAAACATAGAGTTACCATATGA